GAAATTTTCCCATTTAGTTCTGTCTCCCCAAAAGTTAATGCATACTAGTGACGTTGGGCTTTAGCTTAATACTAGTTTTTAACACATGGTTCTTTGATATCTGTCCAAAATGTGAATCCCTTTATAATAAGCATCGGCTGAGCGTTAAAACCTCAGTTTTATTCAAGTGCACTATGCCTGGTGGCACAGTAGATACAGTTGGGCTGCGATCCAAATGGTCTGCACAGTTCGAAACTACAATGGAGCTTTCTACTCCCATAAATAGTTACAGTCTCAGAAACTTACCAGAGCAGTTCTACCCTGTCCTATAGGGTCCAGTCACTATTAGCATCAACTCAATGGCAGCGAACTTGTTTTCTCTCTTTTCGTTTAGTTTTTGTTCAAGTTCCCTGAGCTCTACACAGAGCACAGAAACACCCCTGTCCTTCCTTATACCTAGTATTAATATATAAAGTCAACAGAGCAGATGAGAGGGCATGAACACATTTCAGCACTGGCCTAAGTAAAGAGGAATTCAAGACAAAAAATGGAAATACAGAGTGGGTGGGTGTGATAAAATATCCGGAGGAAACAAGTAGGAGAATTTAAACAAAGGCCAGTTTGTTTACAGAATTTCTCTCTTAAATCTAATAGAACTTACTAAAATTTCATTTGACTTCATCTTTTTTTCTTAGCATACCCCCCACCCAAATCAGACTATGTTATTGAAAGACTATGAAGACTACATATGAATTATGCATGAAGGAACCATAGCGAGAACAATAGGCAAGGGGCTGGCATAAGAATACTTGAAGCTGCACCGTGAGTGTCCCACGAGGAACAAAGAAATATGGTCCAGTCTAGGGAGTTAGAAATCTCTTACTACTGTCTTGCACATTGAAGCATCACAAGCAAGGATTTCAACTTCTGACAGTTATGAACCAAATCCATTCACCTGACTCCAAACAGGCCTGCAGATGTGCACCACCAGCATCTTAGAGGAAAGAGGAAGAAGTGCCTTGTTCAGTTATTACTATTTCTGGGGTGCCCTCATGAGAGATTCAAATTTGTGAACATCATTGGAGCTGATCCAGATAAGATAAAAATAGAGCATCTCATTTGCCGGCAGTGCTCTAAGGGCCAAAGCTCAGGAATCACTGACATTCAACGATGTGGCAGTAAAGTTCACCTGGGAGGAATGGCTACTCCTGAACCCTGCTCAGAAGATGCTATATCAGG